CAGGAGGTAGGAAGATGCCTAAAAATCAAATGGCTTTAATTCCCTATTGCTAGTGTTAGTCCTCTGAACCTTCAGCAGTGACTCAAACCCTCTCTGTCCCTTCTTAGGTAAAAGAGGGTGGGATGTGGGGGACCCACCCCATTACAGTTAATATTTGGGAGCAGCTGTTGGAGCAGTTTTCTGCTCCTTCTTCCTTTCAAGCGCTCCAGGCTGGGGGCAGAAAAGGACCTGGGGGTGTTGGTGGCCTGTGGGCTGAACAGGAGCCAGCAGTGTGCCCAGGTGGCCAAGGTGGCCAACAGCATCCTGGCCTGTATCAGGAACAGAGTGGGCAGTAGGACTCGGGAGGGGATCGTCCCCCTGTGCTGGGCCCTGGGGAGGCCCCACCTCAAGGGCTGTGTCCAGTTTTGGGGCCCTCACCACAAAAAAAGCCATTGAGGGGCTGGAGCGGGTCCAGAGAAGGGCAACGGAGCTGGTGAGGGGTCTGGAGCACAAGTCTGGTGAGGAGCAGCTGAGGGAGCTGGGGGTGTTCAGCCTGGAGAAAAGGAGGCTGAGGGGAGACCTTCTGGCTCTCTTCAACTCCCTGAAAGGAGGGTGTAGCCAGGGGGGGTCGGTCTCTTCTCCCAAGCATTTCTGAACGGTGACTGTGTCGGTGTGATACTCACCCTATTTGCTGTACGGAGCCATAGCTGAGCCTCACATGGAGCAGAATTCACTTTTGGTGTGCACCAAGGAAGGCTTTGCTGATTCTGTTTGTTCTGCGTGGGCTCAGGAGGTAGGAAGATGCCTAAAAATCAAATGGCTTTAATTCCCTATTGCTAGTGTTAGTCCTCTGAACCTTCAGCAGTGACTCAAACCCTCTCCATGACTGTGTGACAGGTCCCCAGCTTTGCTGCTCTGTGTAAGGCAGGTCTCATGGGACTTGCCCTGCCTGCTGGTCTGGTTCTTGTCCTCCCCAGCGCAGTGACTCCTGGTTGTTGTTCCTCTTGCTGCCGGTGTTTTTTCCTGTGCACACCACGTGGGTGCCACGTTTCCTGTGGAAGCCTTGGAGCATGGCTTCATGAAACTGGGCAATGTGGTGGGTCTGGCTTGGACCATCTGCTACTGTGTGGCTGTAATGCAACCTTAGGTGATCCAAGTGAGAAGTGAGGTTCCAGGCTGCAAAAGGGTAATAAGCAGCACTCATTAAATGTATTATTTCCCCCCAGTTTCATGCTTCTACGTTGTGGCCTTCTTTTTACAATGCTGTGGGTTATGTGTTGATTCACCTTGCTCTCCAGCTCTAAACCTGCAACAAGCTCTAGTCCTGGCCACTTGAGGGTTTAAAGTTTGATTTTCCCAATATTAAATAGAAGGGAGGTTGAGATGGGAAGAGAGCTGATTGTAGGTGACTTGGGAAAGCTCCTCTTCTACAGAAAGGGAGAGAGGAAACGGCCTCAAGTTTAGGTTGATGGTTGGATTGAGTGATCTGAAAGGTCCCTTCCAACCCAGACAACTCAGTGATTCTATGAAAAGACAGTATATATTGCAGATCTGGCAGGAACATCTCTCTCAAATGCTCCTACCTGTTAAAAAATGTAAATATTTCCACTGTAAATCTCACTACTCCTGTAACTTATGCAGCGAAAAGGTAACTTTTATACGAGACACTATTACTATCTCTATTATTTTTTTTCCTGTGTCATTTTTTTCCCTTTCTTACTAGAGGGGGAGCCTCCTCTGACTAGGAATAGAACCGGCGGTTGCCTTAGTAAAAGTAAACAGGAGCTGACTCTTAAATAATTGTAGGAATTCAGGTTTGGTCTTAATTGTTTCCCTGGCTCATCATTAACCGCGTCTGACCTGTTCCTCAGCATGTGACCCGTCTGAGAGTGGCTTTCATCAGCTAATAGCTATGTGTGATGAGATCTGGATCAGGAATGTCACAAAGACGAGTGAAAAAGTCTTCTCACTAATACATTATTGCTTCTTTCTAACACAAGACTCGTTTTCAGGTGGAAAAAAGTGAGTTTCTTTCCTCTTGCTTGGAGAAAATGTGTTTTACTTGGGTGGTATCGTGTGCCACGTTCCCAGGGGGTACTTGACTTCTGTGGTGGCTCGTTGCCAGCCCTCAGCTGACAAGGTGCTGCTCCTTCAGGGTAGCAGTCTGAGCCCTGAAAGAGCTCTTCATCTTCATTATATGCAAACATCTACCCCCATCTTCAGCGTAGAAGTGGCTGCAGGAGTGTGGCAGAGGCTGCTGGTGACTTTGGTGAAGAACGCCTGCGTGCACGTGGTGTGTGTCCTCCTGCAGCTCCTGAGCAAAGTCCAACAACAGCTGTACCTACCCAAGGAACCTGAGTGAAAGGGTCAGACTTTGTGCTGAAACACATTAAAATCACACACAAGATCTGGTCGGGCTCTTTTACGGGATTGGTAAAGCCCAGAAGGATGGGAAGGACCTCTGGTGTTCATATGACTCCCTTCAGAGCGCCTTGGGAAGTCGGAAGAATGGGGAAGTGGGGAAGGGAAACCCATAAAGGATGAGGTAACCTAGGAACCTGTCAAAACTCTGCTCTGATCTTTGGTCTCTGACTGTTACTGGTGTGTTTACGGGGCAGAACTGGGACTTTGTGAGTTGAGCCTCAGCCTTCGGCTCTTCTGTACAGGGGGAAAAAGCTGGTTAAACAAGAGAGGCAGTACCCTTATAAATACCACCATCAGCAGAGAAGCTGAGAACTTCGGGGCCTCTGTTTTATGGAAAATAATTCCAGCAGTTTTGCTCTCCCCCTCCAGTGCCAAGACCCTTTCCCTGCTTGTTTTTCAAATGGGGCAATGGAAGGAGCCAGCAGAGGAGAAGCTGAGGCTTCCTTGCTTTTCCCTCAAGGAAAAGGGATACTGACTTCATCTAAGGAGTTTTGAAGCCAGTTCTTGCTTTGAATCAAATTCTGTAAGATCTTAGTGTGTATGTGTGAGGGAACAAGACACTTTACCTCTGTGGTGCAGGTGGTAATGTCATAGAATCATAGGATGGTTAGAGTTGGAAGGGACCTTAAAGATCATCCAGTCCCAACCCCCTGCCCTGGGCAGGGACACCTCCCACCAGCCCAGGTTGCTCCAAGCCCCATCCAGCCTGGCCTTGAACCCCTCCAGGGATGGGGCAGCCACAGCTTCTCTGGGCAACCTGTTCCTGTGTCTCACCACCCTCACAGCAAAGAATTTCTTCCTAATATCTAATATAAATCTCCCCTCTTTCAGTTTAAAACCATTACCCCTCATCCTATGGCTCCCTTCCCTGATCAAGAGTCCCTCCCCATCTCTCCTGGAGCCCCTTGAGGGACTGGAAGGGGCTCTAAGGTCTCCCTGGAGCCTTCTCTTCTCCAGGCTGAACAACCCCAAATGCTAAATTACAGGAAGTCCAGAAAAATTGGTGTCTGATCAGTCCTTGTGGTTTTTTTTTTTCTTTATTTTATTTTTTCTTGAGATTTAAAAACCTGTTGGCACTTTGCTATTTTGATGCGTATCCACAGACTTCTTGGTAAAATGTGTTGTAATTTTATGCTGAGTTCTTGAATTGCAAGACCTGAACCGGGATGAATTTCCCTTTGCCTGGAAGTTATAGCTGACCAGCTACACCCTGCTGGCTTTTAATTTCCCCTCAATTATCTACTTGTGTTGAGTTTTAGAAGTAGGATCAATATCCAATTAACTTGGAATGCAGATATTTAAAACACAGGCTTTGTTTCAGAGAAATTCTCGAGTGAGAGCCTTTATTTAATAAACACAAACAGGTATTTTCTTTATTTGCAGTAAAATAATGTATCTCTAGGTGGCGGTAGGACACACCGGGACTTTTTCTGTCTGCAAAACGGGAAGGAATTAGCTATAATAGTTGTCGACATGGGGACAAAAGTGGTGTAGAAGATCCAGTATCATCTAATTCACTGGAGACTTGTTATGAAACAAAGACAAGAATTAATGTTACTACTGAAAATGTTTGAAGGAGTTCCATTTTTATTTAACTGCTTAACAGAAGTCACAGGTAACTTTCTTCTTGTAACTGAAGTTCTGTCTGTTAGGGATTTTTTATAATGGTTTTCTTCATTACTTCATTACAATTTTAACTGTATTTAGGGGAAAAAAGGGATAGTGTGCAGGTAAGATGAGGATCCCATGTAGTATCATGCAGTGGTATTTTGTCGTGACTGTGGTACCCTGGTCTGCCTGGGGAGGGCCACAGAAACACAGAGGAAGTTATTTTGCATGTGTATTCTTTGGTTTTATAAGATGTAAAGGTGTTACACTGAGATAAAGCACATAAGGGATATTAATTTTGCAGTGTGCACACTTGAAGTGTCTGTCCATTTTTTCTCCTTTCTCATGTGACGGTAAAATACATTAAGCTGAAAATAAGGCTCAGATGATGTGTCACTTCTTGCAGTTCAAAACTAATATTTTTTTTAATGAAATACAATTAAAAATCACTGCTGGTTTGTATGCCACGTTTAAAAATGTAAGGGTATTAAAATTGCAATTTAAACCTGGACACCTGACTTTCTTTTTTTTTGATGTACTGTAATCCATGAGTGCTTTGGGTCTGAAATATTTGTGTGTGATAATGTCATGGCAGTCTCTCCTATAGCTTTCTAAAATAATGTGAGTAAAATATGACTAAACCAGAATAAGAATTGTGCTGCTTGCTTTAAAAATTAATATTAAAAGGCCTGATTTATATTTATTATAGTGAAATTATTAACTGACCTTTAAATTGCGTGTTTCTCCCTAGACCCTTGAATACGTTCCCATCCTTTATGAAAAATCCTGGGCTTTGTCTTTAATTTGGCAAATCCCATTCACTAGATGTTCTGGGACTTCTTAAGTGGAGCCTTTGTAACAGGTTGAAAAAGTCTCGAGTATCAGTTTCTGTCAACTTTTATAGCTTGAGAATTGTCGAGCAAAAATGCGTAAAATTAAGTGGGAGTTGTCTGTGCCCCATTAAAATTTCTCTTCCTTTTCCCAAACAGCTGCCGAAATCCAAAGGATACTCCATCAGCTTGGAACACCACAAGACACGCCGGAGCTGAGGCAGCAGCTGTGAGTATTTCATGTGAAAATACTTAATTTCATTGCACTGTAAACAATCTGAGGTGGGTTTTTGTTAGGCTGAATGCTTGATCTCAGCGAGAAAGGCAAGTGTAGAGAAATACTTGAATACTTCTTAAAATTAATCATGGATAATCTGTGAAATAGTCAGCTGGGTTGCCCGTGTACGTTGCCTGCAGTATCAGTACATCTATAGAACAATCAATACATCTAAAAAAAGGGAAAGTGGCAGGACCAGAAAGAAATATCACTGTTTAAAATGCAAACACTGCATCTTGCCACCTCAATCAACTCCTCAAATCTGTCAAGGTAATGAATATTTCGGGTTTTCATGAGATGTGATCCTGGGGGAGAGAGGGGAAATGTCTATTTAGTGATGAAAGCTACGGTGAGGGATGACACTGTAGAATAGTACCAGAAATATTAAAATAGCAGAAGTGAAACAAGGCTCCAGGGCAGATGCTGTGATGTAGTTTGGTCACCTGAAGGTGACATTTCTGTGCCACTAGCGGAGGCAGTCAGCTGCTGTCCACCTTTCTGCACAGCCTGTTGATTTTTTCCCTTAAACTCCTTTACCACATAAATCTCAGCATAAATGCTGTGATAAATGCACATAAGTGATTTGTTGTGCTAACCCTGTGGGTGGGAAAGTCACCGGTCTTCAGCGTGGTTAATGCCACACTGAAGAATAGGAGGAAGTGGGTATTAGGCCAAAGGCATCATTCGTTTTGTGTGAGCAGCCAAATTGCTTTAAAATAGCCTGAGTTCAGGGCCCATAACATCAGCCAGGTACAATCCACAGTGGGTATCCTACTGGAGACTGAAGAGGTGAAGATCAACATACACAGGCAAGATCTAGGCATAAATTCACAGCTAAACAGGATAGAAACTGCTGTGAAGGACACGTTCACGGAGGTAATATATGTGATAAGCTTCCTTGAGTTCTCATCTGCCCCTTTTCCACTTGTCTGAGCATTTGGCCTTTCCTTTCCTGTTGGTCTGTATCTGAGGAGTTATTTGATTATTTTAAATATTGATGTTGATTGCTGGCTAATAGCTTTCCAGATAAAACCTTTTTATATACACTGGGGAGGAGGATGGAAAAACAGGTAAAGAATTTGAGTTGTTCCAGGAAAAAAAATATGAAGATTGGTAAAGAAGTATGTGATAGTATCAGAAGCAGAGACAAAATACCAAAAATAGCAATGCTGTTGAAAACAAGGCTTTATTTTCTTTGCCTTTTTTTTTTTAAGCACTGTTAAAGCTATTAGTAAATAATGAAGTTTTCAGCTAAATTCACAGCTATTGTATCATTGGCAGATATACATCTCTTTAAATAAGCTTCCCAGTTAACTACCAGGAATTGACCTTGTGTGGACTTTGGTATCAAATTATATTCAAGCCACAGTATGTTCTTCCACACAGAAAAAAATGTGTTGGGGTTTTCATGAGGTGTGATCCTGGGGGAGAGAGGGGAAATGGCTATTTAGTGATGAAAGCTACGGTGAGGGATGACACTATAGAATAGACATGTACCAGAAATATTAAAATAGCAGAAGTGAAACAAGGCTCCAGGGCAGATGCTGTGATGTAGTTTGGTCACCTGAAGGTGACATTTCTGTGCCACTAGCGGAGGCAGTCAGCTGCTTTCCATCAGCTTGGAACACCACAAGACACGCCGGAGCTGAGGCAGCAGCTGTGAGTATTTCATGTGAAAATACTTAATTTCATTGCACTGTAAACAATCTGAGGTGGGTTTTTGTTAGGCTGAATGCTTGATCTCAGCGAGAAAGGCAAGTGTAGAGAAATACTTGAATACTTCTTAAAATTAATCATGGATAATCTGTGAAATAGTCAGCTGGGTTGCCCGTGTACGTTGCCTGCAGTATCAGTACATCTATAGAACAATCAATACATCTAAAAAAAGGGAAAGTGGCAGGACCAGAAAGAAATATCACTGTTTAAAATGCAAACACTGCATCTTGCCACCTCAATCAACTCCTCAAATCTGTCAAGGTAATGAATATTTCGGGTTTTCATGAGATGTGATCCTGGGGGAGAGAGGGGAAATGTCTATTTAGTGATGAAAGCTACGGTGAGGGATGACACTGTAGAATAGTACCAGAAATATTAAAATAGCAGAAGTGAAACAAGGCTCCAAACCTTAAAAAAGAAAAGTGAGTAATGATGCTGTGTCATCAGTAATGATTCAATAGTGGAGGAACATACTTTGTCAGCATCTGTAAAAGAAGATTGGTGAAGAAGTATGTGATAGTATCAGAAGCAAAGAGACAAAATACCAAAAATAGCAATGCTGTTGAAAACAAGGCTTTATTTTCTTTGCCTTTTTTTTTTTTTTATTCGTTTTGTGTGAGCAGCCAAATTGCTTTAAAATAGCCTGAGTTCAGGGCCCATAACATCAGCCAGGTACAATCCACAGTGGGTATCCTACTGGAGACTGAAGAGGTGAAGATCAACATACACAGGCAAGATCTAGGCATAAATTCACAGCTAAACAGGATAGAAACTGCTGTGAAGGACACGTTCACGGAGGTAATATATGTGATAAGCTTCCTTGAGTTCTCATCTGCCCCTTTTCCACTTGTCTGAGCATTTGGCCTTTCCTTTCCTGTTGGTCTGTATCTGAGGAGTTATTTGATTATTTTAAATATTGATGTTGATTGCTGGCTAATAGCTTTCCAGATAAAACCTTTTTATATACACTGGGGAGGAGGATGGAAAAACAGGTAAAGAATTTGAGTTGTTCCAGGAAAAAAAATATGAAGATTGGTAAAGAAGTATGTGATAGTATCAGAAGCAGAGACAAAATACCAAAAATAGCAATGCTGTTGAAAACAAGGCTTTATTTTCTTTGCCTTTTTTTTTTTAAGCACTGTTAAAGCTATTAGTAAATAATGAAGTTTTCAGCTAAATTCACAGCTATTGTATCATTGGCAGATATACATCTCTTTAAATAAGCTTCCCAGTTAACTACCAGGAATTGACCTTGTGTGGACTTTGGTATCAAATTATATTCAAGCCACAGTATGTTCTTCCACACAGAAAAAACTTGGTCTTTTCTACAGTTATTCCATACTCAGAAATGACCAGGTATTTCCAAGTATAGATAGCCTTAAAAGGACTATGGAAAGCCTCTTTAGATGTTCATAATATTAAGAAACCTATTGCTGCGCATTGGGAAAATAGAATCACAGAATCTTAGTGGTTGGAAGGGACCTCTGAGATCATTGAGTCCAACCACAAAAACAAAAAAAAATAACCAACACCAAACAAATACAAAACACACCACACCAAACACCCACCAAAAACACCGCACCCACCAACTAAACCCCACACTCAACACCTCACCATAAACCAATAACCTTGGGCACTAGAGCATGCCCTGAAGAGCCATGTCTATATATTTGATTATTTTAAATATTGATGTTGATTGCTGGCTAATAGCTTTCCAGATAAAACCTTTTTATATACACTGGGGAGGAGGATGGAAAAACAGGTAAAGAATTTGAGTTGTTCCAGGAAAAAAAATATGAAGATTGGTAAAGAAGTATGTGATAGTATCAGAAGCAGAGACAAAATACCAAAAATAGCAATGCTGTTGAAAACAAGGCTTTATTTTCTTTGCCTTTTTTTTTTTAAGCACTGTTAAAGCTATTAGTAAATAATGAAGTTTTCAGCTAAATTCACAGCTATTGTATCATTGGCAGATATACATCTCTTTAAATAAGCTTCCCAGTTAACTACCAGGAATTGACCTTGTGTGGACTTTGGTATCAAATTATATTCAAGCCACAGTATGTTCTTCCACACAGAAAAAACTTGGTCTTTTCTACAGTTATTTCGAACTCAGAAATGACCAGGTATTTCCAAGTATCGATAGCCTTAAAAGGACTATGGAAAGCATCTTTAGATGCTCATAATATTAAGAAACCTATTGCTGCACACTGGGAAAATAGAAGAAAGCTTAAAAAAGAAAAGTGAGTAATGATGCTGTGTCATCAGTAATGATTCAATAGTGGAGGAACATACTTTGTCAGCATCTGTCCCACCTGGAATCCACAATGTCATGCCTTTACAGGGAAGAACGGAATAAAAATGCTTTTGTGCACTTTAGAGAAGCATTTAGTACTGCTGCTTTTCAGAGAATCGGTGAAATTCAAACACAGTAACCCAATGGGTTCTAATGGAGCTTTGCATTTTGTTTTTCAGGCAGCAGAAGCAGCAATACACTAACCAGCTTGCCAAAGAAACCGACAAATACATTAAAGAGTTTGGATCTCTGCCTGCAACAACTGAACAGGTATAAAACCAAAGAGCATGGCTTGTTTGACGACCATGTTGCCTCACATAGATGATTTGAGTGGCTTCGGTTCTGCCTATTTTTGTGTTCCTCAGCAGGCTTATGGAGTGCTCTTGAGTTACTCAACACATTGGCAAGATAGGAACTCTCACAACATAAGAATATTTTGTTGCAGTCTAGACTTGTTCCAAAGTTGTTTTTAATGTATTGAGAGTGAGGTAGTTTGACTGAAAGGGGAGGAATCAAGTGCCAGTGATTTCAGGGAGCTGGGCACTTTGGAATCATAGAGTGGTTTGGGTTGGAAGGGACCTTAAAGATCATTCAGTTCCAACCCCCCTGCCCTGGGCAGGGACACCTCCCACCAGACCAGGTTGCTCCAAGCCCCATCCAGCCTGGCCTTGAACCCCTCCAGGGATGGGGCAGCCACAACTTCTCTGGGCAAGGTTGCCCAAGGTTGTTCCAGTGTTTCACCACCCTCACAGCAAAGAATTTCTTCCTAATATTTAAATTAAATCTCCTCTCTTTCAGTTTAAAACTAATACCCCTTGTCCTAGGGCTCCCCTCCCTGATCAAGAGTCCCTCCCCATCTCTCCTGTAGCCCCTTTAGGGACTGGAAGGGGCTCTAAGTTCTCCCCAGAGCCTTCTCTTCTCCAGGCTGAACAACCCCAACTCTCTCAGCCTGTCCTCACAGCAGAGGTGCTCCAGCCCTCTGAGCATCTTTGTGGTCCTCTTGTGGACCCATTCCAACAGGTCCATGTCCTTCCTGTGCTGAGGACTCCAGAGCTGGATGCAGAGCTCCAGGTGGGGTCTCCCCAGAGCAGAGGGGCAGGATCCATTGCAGAGATGCTGATTCTGACTCTGCAGACACTCTGCTGCCAGGGTCAAGGAAATTTATGCCAAAAATGCTTGCAGGGCAAATAGTCTGACTGTCCAAATAATTTGATTATACACAGTAGGTCTGTTCTGTATCACTCAGATCAGTACATGTGCTATGTCTTGTCCACAGGCCTTTCCTGTTTTGTTTTTTTTTTTTTTTTAAGAGACACGTGTGCTATGTCTTGTCCACAGGCTTTTCCTGTTTTGTTTTTTCTTTGTTTTTTTTTTTTTTTAAGAGGAGTGTACAAGAGCTGTTACTAAAACACCTTCTACAGTCTTTAAACTGCTTCTTTCCCATGTCTGTGTGAAATCCCCTTCAGATGTAATATGAGAAATGGCTGTTGTCATTAGCACACTCCTGTCTGCTGTCCTGTGGTTTCTTATCCGAGCAAAATCTGTTGCTTTAAAGAAGGGAAGAGCAACAGGATCCCAGAAAAAAAAAAAAAAAATGGATTCAGGTCATTGTCACTCAAACAACTTGCCTCATCTGTGGCTGGTTACTGAGAAAATGGATTGTCCTGAAACACTGAATTCATGTCCCACACATGATCCACGTGTTCTCATCCTGTCAGGTTGTAAACTTCTAATAGAGGTGTTAAAACTTTTGGTCTTGGTATATAACCTCCAGGCCAGGCAATATATGTTTGGGGTCGTTTGTTATGGTTTTTCTGTTTCTTTATCTTGTAGCTGAAAAGGTTGTAAACTTCTAATAGAGGTGTTAAAACTTTTGGTCTTGGTATATAACCTCCAGGCCAGGCAATATATGTTTGGGGTCGTTTGTTATGGTTTTTCTGTTTCTTTATCTTGTAGCTGAAAAGTTGGCTGTGAGATGTTTTACCATCTAATTTTACTCCTAATTATGAATATCTTCATCAAAGCTACCTCCCAATGAACTGTGTAAATGATGAGTTAATGAATGGTGTTTATAGGCTCTTGGAAATTTAGAAGGAAGGGTTGATTCAATGTATATATTTAGGAAAACATGGTGGAGGCTCTCCTGTGTGTTCATTATTCTTCTTCCCACCCTACATCTTAAAGAACAACAAACAAACAAACCCAAACCAACCAGAATAAACAAAACAAAACAAAAAAACAAAACACCAAACCTCAATGTATATATTTAGGAAAACATGGTGGAGGCTCTCCTGTGTGTTCATTATTCTTCTTCCCACCCTACATCTTAAAGAACAACAAACAAACAAAAAAACCCAAACCAACCAGAATAAACAAAAAAAACCCAAAACACCAAACCTGAAAGACTAAAACAAGGTATTTTTGTACACATTCTGAAGCACTTATGGGAGGATGTGAACCCACTTCTGGATGCAGCTCAATATATATTTCCAGCATTTATGTAAAATACATGTGTCATGTTCTTTCTTTTCTGTGTCAGCTTTGCATAACTTGAACCATTTTATGGTTGTAGCATCCATGATACCAAAATATTTCACACTTAAACAGTAGGTTTTATAATTAACAAATAATAAGGAAGGTAGAAGATTTCTTGTCCCTTCCCATTTCTTCTTTCCAGCTGTTAAATGAAAATAAATACATTAATTTCCTCTTTAAATGCCTTAAATTGTGCGGAGTTCTGTGATTCCAGAGGAAGGTTTGTCCATGCGGTTGCAAATGGTTTTATTAGACCTATTTAGAATAAAAAGAGTATATGCCTTGGCATCGAGCAGCCTGGAAATGGCAGAGCCTTGAGAAGCTGGAGCTCAGTTGACCTGGTAAAACTATTTTTTTGCTCCTGTAGCGTCAAAGAAAAATACAGAAAGACCGACTTGTGGGGGAGTTCACCACAGCACTAACAAACTTCCAACGACTCCAAAGGCAAGCTGCTGAGAAAGAGAAAGACTTTGTAGCCAGAGTAAGAGCCAGTTCAAGGGTATCTGTAAGTATCAGAAAATGTGCCATTATACTGTTTATTGGTGTTAGATGTCAAATTTGCCTCCTCAGTGCTACTTGCAGAAGCTCCTGTCTGACTCCAAATACTGCCGAACGTGTGCTAAATGATTTTACAGTAAAGGCTGAATGAAGTTATGTTACTTTTTTCCTTGCCTTTGTCACCCAGAAATATAAACTGTCCCTGGGTTTATGCCATAATCGTGCAAAAAGCAATATTTTGGTAGATTTTGAAATGCTTTTGTTGGGATTTTCGATATCAACAGATATTTTTTTCTATAGGGAAGAATCACTTCCCAGACTTCTCTGCAGTATTACAGTGGAGAAGTGCTGAGAAGCTTGAGATGTTGAGCTTTTTCTTGTTAGCATATCCATTTTGCCTTTTCACTCTGTGCCAAATACAGGTTGTAAATTTTAGCAGGCAGTTCCTGAGTTGAATGTTTTTGCTCATATTTCAGCTTTGTGCATGCATAGAGCAAAACCAGGAGGAGAACATGTTAAATCACGTTTTCAGTTTGAAGTTGACTTACTATAAACCTTATAATATTGACTCATTATAGAAATGCTGACAGTGCTCTTTTCAGGGCCGTAATGTTTTATGTATCTTTTTAAACACTGATCATGTAGGGTGGTGCTGCTGAAGATGGCTACAAAGAAGGAACACTTGTCTCTTGGGACAGGTAGGATGAATTTGTTAGTAAGTCTTAACCTCACTCAAAATAATTAATAGCCTGCAGGGAAGCCAGCTGCCTTTTTTTATTATTATTTTTTCACTTTTAATTATTTTTTTTCTCATCAATTGCCTTTTTTCTGGAGGTAGTTGGGGTAGGTTGTTCAGTTAGGCTTTCTTCTGTAGGGTAATTATAAAGAGGCTCTGGTGGAATAGATGTGAAGAAAAAGGACCATCACCTTCCTGTTTTTTCCCCATGTTTCAGATTTAATTATCTTATTAAACTTCCCTAAGTCTGTATTTGGGCTTCCTGAGACCCAGACTTAGGTAAGTGGGTCCAGAGAAGGGCAACGGAGCTGGTGAGGGGTCTGGAGCACAAGTCTTGTGAGGAGCAGCTGAGGGAGCTGGGGGTGTTCGGCCTGGAGAAAAGGAGGCTGAGGGGAGACCTTCTCGCTCTCTCCAACTGGTGACATGGGACAACAGGCCATGGGACAAGAGGAAATGGCCTCAGGTTGCACCAGGGGAGGTTCAGATTGGATATTGGGAAAAATTTTGGCACGGAAAGGGTTATGAAACCTTGGAATGGGCTGCCCAGGGCAGTGGTGGAGTCACCATCCCTGGAGGTATTTAAAAATCGTGTTGACATAGGGCTTAGTGACATGGGTTAGTGATGGTTTTTATCAGAGTTTGGTTGATGGTTGGACTCAATGATCTGAAAGGTCCCTTCCAACCCAGACAATTCTACAATTCTAAGCACTTTCCAACCTGTGAATGGAGTAAAACTGTTCATTTGTGATAAGCGTTGAGTGTTTACTGGGATCTCTCCCTGCTTTCACGCCCTCCAAGAACTCCTCCTCAGTCTCAGATTGTTTTGTTGGCTACCTCGCTTTTGCCTCAGAATGGGTGTAAACCCTGCAATTTATCATTCAGAAGAAACTTTGCCATCGTATTCATACTTGGAATTCCCAAGCAGTTGGCTCAATGTGAGTGTTTCTCCAGCAGCAGCTTCCTCTACCGAAGGAGCGAGCGCTGATAGCGAGAGCTAAGGGTAAAAATGTGCAATTTTTAATTAAAGTATGTGCTGTGTACTATCCTTTTCTTCTTCTGAGTTATTCCACATTCTGCCTGTTCACTTAATTATAAAGAGGCTCTGGTGGAATAGATGTGAAGAAAAAGGACCATCACCTTCCTGTTTTTTCCCCATGTTTCAGATTTAATTATCTTATTAAACTTCCCTAAGTCTGTATTTGGGCTTCCTGAGACCCAGACTTAGGTAAGTGGGTCCAGAGAAGGGCAACGGAGCTGGTGAGGGGTCTGGAGCACAAGTCTTGTGAGGAGCAGCTGAGGGAGCTGGGGGTGTTCGGCCTGGAGAAAAGGAGGCTGAGGGGAGACCTTCTCGCTCTCTCCAACTGGTGACATGGGACAACAGGCCATGGGACAAGAGGAAATGGCCTCAGGTTGCACCAGGGGAGGTTCAGATTGGATATTGGGAAAAATTTTGGCACGGAAAGGGTTATGAAACCTTGGAATGGGCTGCCCAGGGCAGTGGTGGAGTCACCATCCCTGGAGGTATTTAAAAATCGTGTTGACATAGGGCTTAGTGACATGGGTTAGTGATGGTTTTTATCAGAGTTTGGTTGATGGTTGGACTCAATGATCTGAAAGGTCCCTTCCAACCCAGACAATTCTACAATTCTAAGCACTTTCCAACCTGTGAATGGAGTAAAACTGTTCATTTGTGATAAGCGTTGAGTGTTTACTGGGATCTCTCCCTGCTTTCACGCCCTCCAAGAACTCCTCCTCAATCTCAGATTGTTTTGTTGGCTACCTCGCTTTTGCCTCAGAATGGGTGTAAACCCTCCAATTTATCATTCAGAAGAAACTTTGCCATCATATTCATACTTGGAATTCCCAAGCAGTTGGCTCAATGTGAGTGTTGCTCCAGCAGCAGCTTCCTCTACCAAAGGAGCGAGCGCTGATAGCGAGAGCTAAGGGTAAAAATGTGCAATTTTTAATTAAAGTATGTGCTGTGTACTATCCTTTTATTCTTCTGAGTTATTCCACATTCTGCCTGTTCACTTCTGTGTGTTCTAATTTATTTTTTTTGCTTGATAGTCAACCACAAGCACAAGTGCAAGATGAGGAAATTACAGAGGATGACCTCCGTCTCATTGAGGAGAGGGAATCTTCCATTAGGCAGCTTGAGGTAAGCACAAGTGGTTTCACAGCAGAGTATGCTTTTAAATTTTTCAAAGAAAAAGCATTTTATGGAGGCCTGAGGATTAATTGCAGATATTAATCTGGAGGAGTTAGGGTTTGTGGGTGTGGTTTTTTCCTTCCACACTATAAATATTGCCTTTATATGTGAAATGTGCTTTAAAAATCTATTGTGTCATGAAAGCCATGTTTTGATACTGTGTTTAACTTCACTGGGTCATGTATGGAATAAGGGAGTGCTCATGTGATTGCAAAAAAGAATACATACCATTTTTTTTCCAACATATTGGTCATAACCTT